CCTGCCTAGGCCCACTCATCCTCTCTCCTGTAACATCACCTCCTACGACAACCACCAGGCACCTACTCTCATCCATGTGCCACATGGCCAGCAGAGTCCATTAGTACACTTTACCTTTCTGGCTACAATGGTCACTTGAGCCTAGATATGTATCTGGTCTGGAACAGTGCGAACCAAATCTGGGGATCTCTCAGCAACGGGGAGTGCTTTCCACCAGTAACTGGGGCTATGGGTTACACTATGAAGCCTGAAAATGAAGCCAACTCACAAGAAAGCAGAGGAGAGAGCCAGACAGAGACTGATCCCCTTGGACACCGTTTTGAGTCCTGGGATCCAGGCCGAAGCCCCATCTAGCCATAGCCTTCACAGCTATGTGAGTCAATAAATCTTCAGCCCTAAGCCAACTGGAGAGAATCCAGTCAAGGTCTTTTCCACCTGCCTTTTTCAAGAACAAAGAAACTTACTTTTTATAAAAATAATTGTCAGGTGACAGACTGTCCCTGGGGAGAGCTGCCATGGAGACAGAGTCCAGCTCGGAATTCCTAGGCTACACATCATGACTGCTAAGAAACTTTTGTTTTGTTTTGTTTTTTGAGACAGGGTCTCACTATGCAGTCCAGGCTGGTCTTGAACTCACTATGTAGCCCAGGCTGGCCTCAAACTTGAGGCAATCCTCCTGCCTCAGCCTCCCGAGTGCTGGGATTATATGTGCCACCACGCCTGGCTAGTGTTAACACACTTTCAAAACAATACATAATAATAGACTAGTTTACTGTTTGTAGTACATACTGTTTTTGATTCAGTAATTACATTGGTTTGGTGACAAACTATTAGAGAAATGGTCATAACCCAGATTGGGTTAGTCACAGGGCCAAATGCCACTGGTCACATGATTGATCCAAGAGGTCTGGGACTTACCACAAGTCACTAAGTATTTTCTTTGGGATTTTCCAAACTAAAACTGGCAAGGAAGAAACTCTTCTTTTAGGGTTACTTTTATGGCTTCTATCTAGGTGTCCCCCAAAGCCTCGTGCAGTCATAGGTGGGGATTTTCAGAGATAGCTGGATCTAGGGCGTGTGATGCTGGGATTAAGGGTGTGTGGTTACTAAACCAGTCCACTGGCTGGTTTGGTATAGTTCTGGGTAGGATTAAGGGTGCCCCAGCCTGAAAGGCAGGTAGCCTGGGAGGGATAAAATGGAGGGCAGGCTGTTTCTTTGCTGCCTTCTGCCTACCAAGAACTGTTTCTCCTCTGCGATGCTCCTCTGCTGTGCCACCCTGCTTTGGAGTCAGCCAACTATGGACCTCTACAAAATATGAACTAAATAATCCTTTCCTCCTTTAACTTTGGGTGTTGGGTATTTTGTCTCAGCCATGAGAAAAGTTACCAAGGTATGGAAACAGCCCAAATGCCCATCAACTGATGAGTGGATAAAGAAGATGTGGGTTTTTTATACAATGGAGTACTACTCTGCCATAAGGAAGGATGAGCTTCAGACATTTATAGCTAAATGGATGGACCTTGAGATCATACTCTTAAGTGAGATAAATCAGACACACATGTTTAAATACTGCATTGTTTCTCTGGTGTGAGAAACTGAAAGTGGAAATAAGGACTGAAATGTATAATGGATGTTGGGAAATGGGAAGAAAGTATTCAAATGGGAAGGGGAACAAGGGAGGAGGGAGGGAGAAAGGAAGGAAGGGATAAGAAAAAAGGTGAAAATAAATAAGAACCAAGATACTCATGTAACGGTACAAGATCCCAACGATGAATGTAACTGTATTTTATACCGAAAATGTACAGTAAACTTAATAATAGGAAAAAAAAAAAGAAAATAGAAGGGAAAATGGAAACAAAGCTTTTGTATATAGGGAGGGGAGGGGCTGGGGAGGGAAAGGGATAAAATTTATTAAAAAAAAAAAAAGATTAAAAAAAAATTAAAAAAAAAGAAAAAAGAAAAAAAGAAAGAAAAGCTAACCAAGGTAGAACAACATGAGTCTAGAGCTATTAGCTGTCACATTCCCAAGTGCAGCAGGAGAAAAGGAAGCCAATGTGTGGGTCAACTTAGGTTTGCGTGTTGTCTCCCAATGTCCGTTCTTGCTCCTTTGTATTCTCAGACCCTCCTTCTGCACTTTAGCTGCCAACTAGAGTCTAAATTTACAGACTGTCTTGTAACTAAATGTGGCCATGTAACAAGAGAGTAGGAACCGGGGAACTAGCCTTGTCCCACTTGCCTATACCTTCACTATTGGGTAAGGGAGGAACAAACCACTGTCTTGTCCAGGGCACTGCATTTTCATGATCTTTTTATTATAGTACCTTAGTCTGTCTTTTTACTAATGTGAAGGTAAAAAAGACACAAAAACCCCAATGGAGTATACATCTTTTGATATAGCTGTCCCTGCAATAATAAATTATCACTTGCAGAGTGCTAAGTGCCAAGAACTGTCCTTACTTAATGTTTACCCAGAACCTCATTTAGTCCGATTCGACTTTCTGAAGTGCTACTGCTATTCCCATTGTACAGTTTAGTATACTACGGCACAGGACTAAGTCACTTGCCCAGAGTCACTAATATCCACTCCCCCACCCGCCTACACCACTGCTTCAGGCTGCACTTCTGTCACTGCCACACATCATTCTAACTGGATTTTTGTTTAATCCAATTTGCACATTCCTCTACAGAGTACCAGCCATATGGTTCCAAGTTATATCCAGGTGTCCACCATTGATATATACCAGCCACCATTTAACGACTGCAAGAAGTACAATCTCCTAGGAAACTTGCTGCCATTTATAATCATCGGGCCACAACTGGAGCTACAAGACAAGGCACACTGCAAATAGACATCCTAGAGGGGACACCAGCCCTTCTGGCTGTGGCAGACATTGTTGGATGGCTCACCCAATATCCGTTCCCTACCTCCTTTTCCTTGCCTACCTGAGGAAGCAAAATACTTACTTTCTTAAGCTTCCTGGCCAGATACACAATTTTGGAAAAGTAAAGGTGTCACAACATAAAGAGATTCCAGCACAGTGGTTAAAAGAATAGGCTTGAGAGCCAGAATGCCTGGATTCACTGTCACTTCAGTGGTACACATCTGCCAGCTTATGTAACCTCTGCTCCTTGAGGATAATAACTGTATCTTATGGTTAACTGTGAGGACTGAAGACATTAATAAATGTAAAGAACTCACAAGTACCTGATATATGGTAAACACTCTACAAATGTTAGCAATTGCTGCTTTTATCACCTATCAGTGCAAATATGGAACCAACTCTAAGACATATTAAGTAAAAGAAGCAAGGTACAGAACAGCACATGTAGTGTGCTCCAAAACTGTGTGACTAAAAAGAGAATTCGGAGGGCTGGGGATTTAGCTCAGTGGTTCTGCTGCCTGCCTCGCAAGTACAAGGTCCCGCGTTCCAACTCTGGTACCAAAAAAAGGAATTTAGCGTATATCGATGATCTACTTGTGCATGCACAGCCTATCTCTTGCAACACTGAAGAAAAGCTTCAGCGAGGCTGCCTCTGGGACACAGAACATGGAACTAGGATTCTGGTCTGGGAAAATCTACTTCATCTGTATCTCCCTTCTCTACTTATTGGATTAGATTTTTGAAATTATGTGCTTGAATTCCTTAAAGATGTAAAAATTATGTTCATCTACCAAACCAAAACAAAAAAAAAGTTTGTTTTAAAAAGCTAAAAAAAGGGCCAGGGATTTAGTTCAGTGGTTCCATCGCCCGCCTTGCAAGTGGAAGGACCTGAGTTCAATCCCTGGTACCAAAAACAAAAAGCTAAAAAAACCCATTGGATGTGGTGATACAAACCTGTAATCCCAGGCCGAGACAGGATGATGCACAGGTTCAAGCCCAGCCTGGGCAATTTAGTGAGACCCTGTCTCAAAATTAAAAATTTAAAAAGGGCTGGTGGCTGGGCATAGTGGCGCTCGCCTATAATCTCAGCACTCAGGAGGCTGAAGCAGAATCTCCATGAGTTCAAGGCCAGCCTAGCCTATATACTGAATTTGAGGCCAACCTGAACTACACAGCAAGATCCTGTGTCAAAAACTAGATAACTAGATAGTTAGATAGCTAGATATGGAGGGAGGGAGGGAGGGAGGGAGAAAGGGAGGGAGGGAGGGCTGGGGGATGTAGTTTAATGCAAAGGCCCTGGATTCAATCCCCAGTACTGGGCAGGAGGGGAGGTGGTGGTGACAAAAACAAACTTTTTTTTTTTTGGTACCGGGGATCGAACTCAGGTCTTTGCGTTTGCACAGCAGGCGGCAAAACCACTGAGCTAAATCCCCAGCCCAACAAACTTCTTTTTAATTTCAGTTATTTACCAGCAAAATATACAGTCAACTTGCAAGAAGTGGCAAGGTTCCTTTCAGAAGCATTCAAGCACAAGCTGGGTCTGTCAGACAGGCTGTGGAAGATGTCTGTGGTTGGCCCAGAGAGCATCTAAATGCTGACTTGAAGATCCACAGTTTTGGTGGCACAAAAGGAAAAAGGCCCTGGGGGAGATGTCTGTATATGAGCAAGATGAATTGTGACCATCAGATTGCTGGTATGAGACAGGACATACAGCAACTGTGCTCCAAAGACAAACCTGTCTTTAGCTCAGTGGTGCCGCCTCCTACCTTGCAAGCACAAGGTCCTGAGTTCGATCCCCGGTACCAAAAAAAAAAAAGATGAGCCTGTCTCATCTTTCCAGGACAGAGCCAAGAACACAAGCTGTGGAGCCAGATAGATATGGTGGGGCTCCTAGATCAGCCATTTCTTCACCCTGTGAACTGGACCGAGCTATGTAATGTCTTGAGTATTTTCTCATTTTTAACAAGGGAATAACATCCACCTTACAAAGTTAGTGTAAGAAAGAAGCAAGCTAATTAACAGAAAGCCTGCAGCACTACACATGGCACACAGTGACGTGCCTGAGCAATAACAGTAACCATTACTGGAAGTGGAGAGTGATCACCTTCAAACAACTTGTCCCATGTGTCAATCTTTTAATGCACGAAACGTAACAAATGACAAACCAGAGAGGAGTTTTAAACTAAACGAGTGCAAATGATTACACACAGCTGTTTCTGCACACCCCACACCTGGATGTTAAGTCAAGATGGCTCCCACTAAGTTCTAACCTTAAGGCTAACCTGCTCTGCCTTACTCACTCACTGAAGATCAGAGCACTAGGGAGGCCAATCTTCTCAGCCCCTGGCTTCTCAGTCTTCCTTCTAAACAAGAGGTCAGAAAACCAGGAGGAGCCAACTGTGCTGTCAGCCAGAGAGAACGGTAAGAAAAACCCTGGCAAAGTCACTTCTTTTGCCTCAGTGCCTGCAAAAGAATGTTAAGAGCCCCTCATGCATGTATGCACCGTGGGATTTTGGCAAACTCAGCATGGGCTGAATGGTTCTAGACTGGAGAGCTAGTGTTCACGAACACTTCGCCTTCAGTGATGTAAGACAAATACCTTTGGCAAGGAGTGACAAGCTAATTGATCAAGTCACAGGGGAGACTCCAACCTGGAACTTCACATATACAAAAATTGGGATGCTGAGGGCTTATCTTTTTTTTTTTTTGTACCAAGGATTGAACTCAGGACCTTGCGCTTGTGAGGCAGGTGGCAGAACCACTGAGCTAAATCCCCAGCCCAAGGTCTTGTCTTCTTAGTGAAAACCAAAGGCCTAAAAAACCATGAGAAGCCGGGCATGGTGGCGCACGCCTGTAACCCCAGCACTTGAGAGGCTGAGAGAGCAGTATTGCCACAGGTTCAAGGCCAGCCTGAATTACATAGTGAGACCCTGTCTCAAAAAAAAACAGAAAAAGAAAATCTCTTATTAACCACCTTAGGATAGCAAGGGTCATTTTGGGAAGATGAGAAACACTAATCACGTTCCCTCCAGTTTTAGTAGCCACAGGAATTTGGACTCTGAAGCCATAAACCATTTTCCCAAGAATTATGAGCAAATACAATTTGCTGCAATTGTGGCCACCAGCCAAACACGTCAGCAGTAGCAGGCAGGCTGAGGGCTCTCTGCAGGAGGGGTGAACAGTGGGGTACTGCATGGCTGAGAGCCAGCACACCAGCCCCGACTTCCCTGCTGGGTGAGGGCTGTTGCTCTGCAGGCCCATTTCAGGCAGGCTCCAGCCTTCAGGCCGGGGGGGCTGGGATGCTGGGGACAGATAATGGTACAGTGTGACTGCTAATAGATAAGGTAGAAGCACACCACATGAAGACAACTCCTCCAAATGTTCTCTTAATAAATTCTTAAAAGCTCAGAGCCTTCAACGACTGAAAAACTCTGAATTAAAAAGGGAAAGAGGGTGGAAGTTGCAAAGACACGTGATGCTGACCATTCACTTTGTCCCCAAGTTCATCTCAGAGCTCAAGCAAATCCAAGACTGGAGGCAGTCACTAGACTTGTGTCAGAGGCAAAAACTTCTGGTAGTAGCTCTTGGTGACGTCGATCATCAGCTCCTGAGTACACTCTGGAAGCTCCCCTGAGAAGAGTCCTGGGGGAAAAAGAGACCAGGTCCATAAAAGGAGTCAAGGAGGCCCACAGCTCTGACTTCTGATCAAATTGCTAGAGACCGTTACTTTTAGTTTTATCTAACTGCTCGGTTTCCCATCTCCAGTACTGATAGAATATTCTACTGATCATGTCTTCCAGATGATATGAATTTGTGACAAGGTCAGGAAGGGGACAAATATTACAGTCCTCCAAATGAAGAAACATATTCCAGGTAAAAGTCAGAGCCAGATATGGTGGCATATGTCTGTAATCCCAGCACTGTAGAAGGCTGAGGGCAGGAGGATCATAAATTTGAGCCTCGCCTGGGCAAATTTGAGAGATCCTGTGTCAAAATAAAAAATAAAAAAAGCACTGATGATATAGCTCGATGCAAAGGCCTTTGGTTTAATCCACAGTACCACGGGGGAAAAAAAATCAGGACATCTGAAGCGTTAAAGCATCTCTGGCTGCTTCAGAGATTGTTCCAGATGAGGACTGGTCCACCCTCATTCTACTGTGAGCCCCACTGAGCCAGCTTTATCCTTACCCTTGAGACAAGAAACTGTCTTGCTTTTTGTACAATGAAACTAAACCAATGCCCAACTTCACTAGGTAAGAGATAAATCAAAGAAAGAACAGAAGGGTCCTACAGAAAGACAAACAATGGAGCAATCACAAGTGAGAACTCCAGGAAAGAGGCACTCTCAGGCACTGTGGATACTCATATGACTGCTTGGAAGGGCACTTCAAAACAGCTAGCAAAACTTTCAAAGTTAATGCTCTGTGGCCTGACAATTCAACTTCTAAAATGTATCCCAGGCCAGGTATGATGGTGCACACCTGTAAATGCACACTTGGGAGGCTGAGGCAAAAGGATTGCTGTGAGTTCGAGACCAGCCTGGGCTACATAGTGAGTTCAAGGGCAGCCTGAACTGCATAGAGAGACCCTGTCTCAAAAAAAAAAAAAAAATCAATCAATCAATCAATTTATCTCAGTAATAATCTTGCTCAATTGCACAATATATGTACAAGATTGTCAATGAAGCAAAGTTTCTAATAGTGAAAGGGTAGGTACAACAATCTATTATATTAGTGGACCAACTAGATACATCATGGTACAGCTACGCAGAGAAAAACCTGTAACCATTAAAAGGAACGAGGGGACTCTCTACACAATAGTAAGACACCCAAGGTATATTGTTAAAACAAAGAAAGCCAGTTTCAAAACAGAATACAGAGTAGTATACAGAGTGTGAGTCTAGCTATGAATAGTTTCATACATCCATGTTATATATACAAACATATAGCCACACACCTGTAGATTCATATACAAATATGTACTGTGTGTATATACAAACATATAAACTAACTGACAAAATAGAAAAATAGGTCTAAAAAATACAAAATTCTCATAGGCACTTTGAAAATCAGCATCTCCTATTTGACTTGTAAACATATGTCTGGTCTGTATAATATTTAAGCCAGGGATTTAGCTCAGTGGCACCGTACTTGCCTCGCAAGTGCAAGGTCGTGAGTTCGATCCCGAGTACCACCCCCCCCCAAAAAAAGAGAGAGAGAACACTTCAGGAATAGTTCTCATTCTTTATATAATATTTAATATTTTTTTAAATTAGTAGAAAACTTTTTTTTTGGTACCAGGGATGGAACTCGGGTCCTTGCGCTTGCACAGCAGGCGGCGAAACCACTGAGCTAAATCCCCGGCCCAGTAGGAAACTTTTTAAAACACAGAAATATCACATAAAAATTCCAATATTTAGCTCCTCATAAAACATCAAGACTATCTCATGATATCAGATCTGTATTAAGCAGCTATGAAGGGTTATTATTTCAATCATTTGTATTATCTGCTTGGCTCCTGTAGGCATCTAAGTTCTTGGCTCCTCATATCCAGAGTCTTTCTGGCTGGTTTCCCTTTCCATGTCCCATAACTCAGTTTCATCCTGTGACGTCTTCTAAAAACATGCCAGTTTTCCTGTAACCCTATGTCTGCAGTTTAAAAGATGTCAACTACATATCAAGATGATTGGCATTTCTCTGTGAAACTATACATAAGTGAAACACGGCAAGCATCGAGTCACAGTGCAAAAGGGACTGGACTCTGAATAAGGGTACTTTCACGAAGGTGAAGGCCGTCCCACTAGTTAGCCCTGACACTGTGGACAATGCAACCTCTCTAAGGCTGTTTTCTCATTTACACGAGGTCACATGCAATTTGAATCCTCTATTAGAACTTCCAAAAAGAGTGTTATTATTTGCATTTGAAATACCTAGCAATGCTTCCTTGCCTTGTGTTATCATGTTTGATGTCTGTAAGAAGTTGGTGCTAGGCTGGGGATGTAGCTCAGTGGCACTGCACCTGCCTCACACGGCCAAGTCCCTGGAGTTCAATCCTCGGTACCAGGAAAAAAAAAAAAGTTGGTGCTAAGGAACTTGAATAAGTTAAAAAAGAATAAGACACTTCTCTGGCAATATCCTTCTCACTTCAGATCAGACGCATATCTGATATTCGCTTAAAACAACTGGGGCTGTTCTGATCTATCACTCGCTAGGAATAGCTAAACTTTATTACAGTGGGACTCCAACACAGGGAGACAACTAAACAAGGGTCTCTTTCTCTGAAAAAGCAGAGATGCATAACATTGAAGAATGGGAAACTATCTCCCCAAAGAACCTAAGTGATGATTTTGTAACTCTCTGAAATTCACATTCAATGATCTGAGTGATTATTTTTTGTAAGGTGGAAAAGCAATTAACTACCCAGAGACAGACTCCATGTACTGTCATGTCTTTCTTGTCACATCATCTTCCAACTGTGAATCTGTGATGTGCCTCTGTATACGCTACATGATTTCAACTGTGTAAAACACTCTGGGGAAGCTGGACATGGTGGTGCATGCCTATAACCCCAGCACTCAGGAAGCTGAGGCAGGAGGATCACTGCAAATTCAAGGGCAGTCTGAACTACACAGTGAGACCCTGTCTCGAAACAAACAAAAAAACACCACAGAGAAAAGAGACTGTGGCGGGGGGTGGGGAGGGGAGCATGGGGAGGTTTTCTTCTGTTTTTTAGTGTTTTCTAAATTCTCTGGGATGAGCACATATTTACTTCTGTGTCCTCACGTTTTGTAATTTGGAACGCTGAGCTCACAGGGACTCAATCTGTGAACATTTCTCATCCAAGGCTGAGAGGTCACGCACTCTCTCTCCTCGGCACCCCAAGCGTATCACTGAACTGAGACCATGTTTTAATTCAGCTTGGGGATTCCTGAGCCATTCAAGAAGTTTAAATTCAAACCTCCAGCCAATGTGAGGGTAAACCCACAGTAAGCAATTCTCTAAAAAGATCTTTTTCCATCCAGAGCCCTGACCAAGAGAAAAATGCTTCTTTGTATTTAACATGTCCTAGTGGCAAATTTATCTTGTATCTACCTTTGATTGAGGGAAAATCCTCCAAGGGTATCTGAGGTCCTCTTGGCCAGGGTTGATCTCCTGCCCCCATGTGACTACCACATCCTAAACCACTCTATTAGGAAGACAGCATCAACTCCCACAATCTTACACCTTGGATTTAGGTTCTTCTTTGACCTTTGATTAACTGTGACTTTTTTTTTTTTGAGACAGACTCTCACCGTATAGCTCAGGCTGGCCTCAAACTATCAGTCCTCCTGCCTCAGCCTTCCAAGTGCTGAGGTTATAGATGTATGGCACAATGCCTAGTAATATCCTTAAATTCTTGTAAACCTTACGCATTGAAAAAAAATAATCCTGTCTTATTTTAGATAGCATTTCCAGGTACTTTGTAACTGGAGAATTTTTTAATTTGCTACATCATATTATCAGAGACAGAAACTGCATGCACTCCTTCTGTGATAGAAAATAAAATAGAATTTTGAGAAGATTAAAATAACACCAAGGTTACCTGGGCAGCCTGAGAAGACAGTGAATGGTGGTACCACAGTTTCTGGAGGTAATACTGTATTGTCAAGGATTTTGCAGCAATCCTTCAGCACACATCGGCGCCCCTGAAATGAAAATCTTATCAATAAAAAGTAGATCAGGAAATAGGAGCCAAGGCTGTCTAGTCTGCTGTATAAAAAGCTATTTTATACGTTCTTCATCCCTGATATGTTACAGCCACAGACAGTAACAAGATTCTCAAATCGCAACCACCTGTTCCAGAAGACACCTTATAAGGGGGAGGAGAAAGGGGCACAAGAGAGTATTGTGTGCGTGCATGTGCATGCCCACACAGGTGTGTGCACCCTGGGAGAAGCATGTATGCTTGGGACAATGCAGGTTACCTTAGGCATCAGAGACTATGGGCCTCCAGAAGTTCTGTATAATTTTATCTTTTATTTGATTTAATGGACACCTGTTGTTTCCACCTTTCTCCTGGAAAGAAAATCTCTATTTTCCTTGGGAACCACCCTTATTTCCACCTCAGTCCAAGTGTTTCACCCCCAGCTCACACCAAACTCCAAGCCTGACCACAGTGCCTGGTTTGGGGAACTGGCTCATGAGCCAACTTGGTCTAATGAATCTCAACCTCAGGGTGTCTGCTGGGCCTACTGGGAAGAGTGGTGTTTTCCATCACACTCTCCAGAGGGCATGATGAAAGCCTCAACAGCCATCCCACTGGAGAACTCCTGAGAGGGATGTGAACCTTTCAGAGGAAAGAGAAGAGAGGAAGACTACTTCTCATGGTATCAGTTGAACCCCCTGGGCATAAAATGAGGATTTACTTCAGTATTCTTGGCTTATATTAGCTAATACATTCAGTCTGCACCTACCAGTTTAAAGTTTGTTCTCTCTTTTGTCAATTCCACCTAGAAAAGTTGACCAATTAATTTGTATATGAAGTTATTCATTTGTTTGCTCTCCCATAAGTGACAGTTAAAAATTTTTTTTTCAATTAAGAAGGGGACAGTTACTTGAACATTTGGGGTGACTGAACCTTATGTTTGAATTTACTTGCTGTCACCGTGTTTCAGTCTACCATGATCCACCGCATTTGAGGGCAAGAAATAAGGTCATCTGTTTGATGGATTAAAGGAGAAGAGAGGCTTGTGTATGCAGTTAAAAGCTGTGCTTCAGGCCAGGGATTTAGCTCAGTGGTTCCGCCACCTGCCTTGCAACCACAAGGACCTGAGTTCGATCCCTGGTACCAAAAAAGTTGTGCTTCAGACTATTCCCTAAGTTAATGACGGTTTTGGTTCTTTATTAGTTATGTTTACATCACCAGAGACTGAAAGTTCACTTTTGTTCTGGTTAAAAAAAAAAAAAATCTGCCAGGCTTGGTGGCACACACCTGCAATCTCAAACTTAGGAGGCTGAGGCAGGAGGATCTCCTTGAGTTCATGGCCAGCCTGGCCTATGTAGTGAGTTTAGGGCCAGCCTGAACTACTAAGTGAGACCCTGTCTCAAAAAAACACGAAAAAAAAAATCTGGGCCGGGCATTTAGCTCAGTGGTTCCGGCGCCTGCCTTGCAAATGCAAGGTCCAGAGTTCGAACCCTGGTACCCCACTCCACCCCCCAAAAAATCTGATAAAATACACCAGGCTGAGAATGTGGACATTTAAAAACAAATACAAGGGGCCGGGGATTTAGCTCAGTGGTTCTGCTGCCTGCTTCGCGAGCCCAAAGACCCAAGTTCGATCCCCGGTACCAAAAAAACAAATACCAGGATAATGCTAACTTATCCACAGCTCAAATTCTACCACAGAATATTAAAGACACCTTGACTTCATTGTGATCAAAGTTTGTACCATTATTAAATATCCAAATCATAAGTATTTCCATGAAAAGGTAGATTGCCAAGTGAATTTTTAGAAAAGGTGGTATCTCCAAGTCTGAATTTCTTAAGTGGCTAAGCTGTCTCTAGCTGGAGAAATAATAACACTGGCAGTATTTGCCAACATCTTTAGCTCAGAAGCGAGTTTTATGTACAGCTCTTCATTCCTCCTTTGAAGATTCTCTTCCATGAATTATCTGCTAGTGGCAATTTCAAAGATACAACAACTAGCTACTTCCCCTGGGGGCCCCCAAATTAACATGATTAACCCTAAGACTTTTGTTATAACTCGGCCTAAGCATATAGGGCACGGAAGAAACTGAATGCACAGAATAAGGTCTGATCCACTCCCATGTTGGTACATACAGGGCCATGGAAAGAAGGATGGTGGGAAGGAATCTTCTCATGAGGCATCTCCAGCCACCATGCAGCCTATAGACCGGCATCTGGTTTGTCCACTACTTGGCCATTCTGTCCACTTAGAGAAATAATGCTCAACTAGGTTTCAGAAGCATTCTGAGTAGACTGATGAGCAGCAATATGAAAAATACATGTATTTCTTAAGCATAAATGGAGTGGAAGTAGCTAAAGAGGTAAAAAGCTAAAAATTACTTCTTTATTCTTCACTGGACAACTTTCCAAGAAGGAATCAAGAACTGTAGCCAGGCTGCTAGTATTAGTTACCTATATACATCTTTATCCAATGAAATTAGCATTTCTGAGCCTTGGTTTCCTCACCTGTGAAAGAAGACAGAAAACCAAATCTACAGGAATGTTGTCAACATTAGAAATGATGAATCTAAAACTCATAGCACAGTAATGGTGCCTACTAATATTGCTTGTTAAGCATTTCCTTCACACATGTGAATAATCAATTAACACACCTTCCCCATCCCAGCAGCAGACTTATCTCCTGGGACCTTGCAGGAAGGCTCTGTATGTGGTGAGGACAGTCAAGACTTGAAAAGAGTCCCCGATGGCTCTAAGGTTCCCAAACCCTAAAAGAATTCCTCCTAAGATTATCTGAGAATTTGTGAAGGCTTAGCAACTACTGCCAACACAAAATACTAGTGGGGTCATGAACTGATGTACTGAAAAGTAGCACAAAAAGCAAAGCACTTGACCATAGGACAAGCATTCCCTAAGCACTGGGGGTAGAATTTGGATTTTAACTTTTCAGACATTTTGCTCTGAGGATAAAGCACGGTTATAGGGCCAGGCTGCTATGGTGATGTCTTTACTTTGCTAAGGAAAATGCCACAAAAACATAAATGTGGTTTGGGAAGCTAGCTACTGGCAAACAGCATGAGGGAAGAGGACAGATTTTCCTATATCTCCTCCACCTTTTTTATAAACTTTTCTTTTTAATTAATATGTGATATTAAACATATTTGCAGGGAACAGTGTGACATCTCAGTACGTGTGTATAATATGTAATGATCAAATCAGGGTAATTAGCATTTCCGTTTCCTTATCATTTCATGTTTATGCCTTCAAGCTCCTCTCTTCTCTTCTTTATAAAAATATGTAACAAGTCATTATGAGCCAGGCATGGAGGTGCACACTGGTAATCCCAGCACTTGGGAGGCTGAGGCAGGAGGATTGTCACGAGTTTGAGGTCAGCCTGGACTACATAGTGAGTTCAAGGCCAGCGTGAACTACATAGCGAGACCCCATCTCAAAACAAAACAACAAAAAAACCCCACTTTGAAGTCATTACGAAATAATCACACTAGAACTCACTCACCCTATCTGACCATACTTTAGTACCCATCATCCAACCTCCCTCTTCACTTACCTACACTCAAGCAATCACTGTTCTCTCTGGTACTTTGAGCTCAACTTTTTAATCTTCCCCTTTTCTTCACACCAGGCTAAACCAGACATTTCCTATCTCTAGTGCACTCCATGGGATTCCTCTGGGGCAAGAGTATCTGGCAGAACAAGTGCTGCCCTTAGTTCTGGACAGTTACTGCAGCAGCACAGTTCTCCCGACACTGTCTACCTCTGCTGAGCCCTCACAGCTCCTCAGCTAGGAACGGCACGGTTCTAGGGCAGTGGTGGTGAACCTGTGGCACGTGTGTTATTATTTTTAAGACAAAAGATGTTAATGTATGAGTTGTTTCTTCTAAACTAAAGCCTTAGCACTCTGGTTTAATTGCCGTGCGGGCACTCTGCAATAAGTAAGTGGGTTTTGGGCTGCAGTTTGGCACTCGGTCGCTAAAAGGCTCACCATCTCTGCTCTAGGATCTGAGTCAAGACAGAGAGCTGGCTCTGTGCTAACAGGAATGACCATTACAGACAAACATATACCGGATCTTGGCTCTTCCTAGACTCCAATCTGAGGTGTACATCTAAAAGGTGGAAAACTGGGCTGGGGATTTAGCTCACTGGTGCCACTGCCTGCCTCACAAGCACAAGGTCCCAACTTTGATCCCCGGTACAAACAAACAAGTAAATAAATAAATAAATGGTAGAAAACAGTTAAAACAGTAAGGCAGATCAGCTCTAGTCATTAACATCCTCACCTAGCTATGTTCTCAGAAACCTCACCAGATATTAAACTCTTCCTCAATGAAATAGCAAGAAATCCAGATCTCGGTTGCATAAAACAAACTATTTTTGGTTTTGTTCTTGCTGTTTTTAGACAGGCTCTCACTCTGTAGTTCAGACCGGCCTTGAACTCCTAGCAATTCTCCTGCCTCAGCCTCCCAAGTGCACCACCACTCCCAGTGGGTGGCCTACTTGTACCTGCATGCCTTGCAGTTCCCCTAACATTTCATCCTCTGACAACTCTGAACCTCACACTCATGCCAATCCCATAATGGACTGGAAATGCCCCAGCTCCCCTTGTCTACTCTGCCAATCTCCACTTGCCCTTTAGATCCCCTTGCCTCTAGGAGACTGCATGCTCCTTTAGGTAAGGAAGCAAGTAGGCTGGGTAGCACCATAGCTAATCATAATGCCTGAATTTAAATTCCAGCTCTACTATCTGCTAGCTTTGTCAAATTCCTTAATACCTATTCTCGTCTGCAAACAGGGATAACAATACCCAACATCCTTAAATAAACTAACTGAAGGGAAAGAGTTTAACCTCATAAAAAGAGGTTCTATACAGCTGGCCATTGTTATTAACACTGAGAAAAAAACTCCAAATCCTACAATAGAGTCCCTGCCTCATGAAGACCAGAAGTTACTCCTACCCTGCCCAGGTGGGGAAGCAATGTCCCCCTGATGGAACGGATGAGGGATGAAAGTCAGAGGGAACCAGGCTGCTCAGTCAGTGGAGGCATCATACTCACAATCACACAGTTCTTGCCAACGTGAACATAAGAACCAATCTGAGCGGCGTTGACCACGCAGTCTTCCTCAATAAAAACATGGTCCCCGATATGTAAAGGAAAGAATGCAACACTAGAGAAGGAACAGATGAACAACAACAAAAAAAGGTCAAGGTGACATACTTCAGGTTAAGGTTTAGAGCTACAGATCATAATCTCAACAAGTTTGTCTTGTGTTTTGTTTGTTTTTTTGGTACTGGGGATCTAGCTCAGGATCTTGTGTCTGTAAGGCCGGCACGGTGCCACTGAGCTACATCCCCGGCCCTGTTTGCTTTGTTTGTTGAGACAGGTTCTCGCTCTATAGCTCAGACTGGCCTTGATCTAACTCACAGTGATCCTCCTGCCTCAGCCTCCAGAGTGCCGGGACGACAGGTGCACACCACCATGCCCAGCTTTCGTCTGTCTTATAAAATTGTTCCTAGCAAGGAAAGGATCCTTAGGCTATACAACTCCCAGTAATTTTTTTGTCCATAATCAAAACTTTATTGAAAAACTGATACCATTAGGAGATCATTGTTGTATACCTTACAAAATCAAACATAATTGCATTATCTCAGTAGATAATCAAAATTAGTTAAGGGCTAATTAATCTAGCTAATTAAATTAATTAATTAAAGCTTTCTGTGAGAAAACACAAATTCAGGAAGTTGTATAGATCACTAGTGTTGCTTTCTTCTAAATGAACAACTTTCTGTGAGTGACTTTCCTCTTTTTGGCTGGCACGGCACTGTGGATCAACCCACACAAAGAACCATTGTCTGAGCATGGCCGAAAATCATGGTGATCTTACAGAGTGTGGACATTTTATATCCATAAAATAGGAATCTGGACTTTGAATTAGCTGTTTCCTTCTATGCTTTTTCTTTTTCTCCTCCGAAGAAGGATATAGTAAATCTAGCCAAAGCCATGGTGATCCTCCCACAACCCCAGCCTAATTACGAGGTAAAAATCAGAAATACTGGCAGAAAGAAATATGCAAAGAAAATGCAGGGCAGAAGGAGTAAGATCTTCAAAGTTAAACGAGAAGGCACCAAATAAAAATGAATGGATGAGGGGCTGGGGATTTAGCTCAGTGGTTCCGCTGCCTGCCTCAAAAGCGAAAGGTCCCAAGTTTGATCCCCAGGACCGCCCCCCCCAAAAAACAATGGATGTTTGCTCATTTCTGCTGTCTCTGGTGCCTTTGACAATGCTCACAGATCACATTTTTACTAATCTTCCCTGTGTTTCAGAGTAGTGACATCAGGTTCATGGTCTGTAAGTTTTAGCACCCAACATTCTTAAAATTGATTCATTTACCATATTTATTGAGTACATACTATGCGCCAGGCCCAATCCTGTAGAATGGACCCTTGACTTAGAAACTCAATTCATTCCTGAGGGCTGGTTGTAACTCAAGTTGGTCAAGTGAAGGCTCAGGCTCCTCTCCACAGCCTTCAAAGTCTCTCTCCTGCACACAGGTAGATCTCAGTGTCCTAAGAGACACACTGGCTCAGGATTTCTCAGTTAATCCCACACAGGAAAGGATGTTGTAATGTTTCCTCCAGAACTCTTTAAGGGTTAAATCTGTTCTGAGACCATCTGGAAGCATAAGTGACTGGTATTCAGGTCATAACCCAAGATTCTATTTGTAGTTAAAACTAAAATTCCGGTCGTAACCCAAGTTTTTTGTATGTCACGCCAATTGTAACTCGAGGGTCCAGTGTATCACCTATTACAGAGCTATCACATTATAGTATCACATTATATAGTAGCTATCTGTTTATGTAATTTTTCCTCCACTAGATTTTGAGAACTTTGAGATAGGAACTCTATAGTATCCATATTTATATGCTGAGTTTATAACCAGTGGCTGTCATAAGATATTCAATAAACACATACTGTACTGACTTAATGGATGAAATGCAGGTGGTGCCACAGGTGGGAACCAGGAGGGCAATTAGCAAAGGAGGAGAGAGGCAAAGCGGATACTACCACAGCAGACATGCTGGTCAGCTCTCCTCTCTGTTCTTGCCCTTGTTTGTTTGTTTGTTTGTTTGTTTGTTACAGGGCCTCACTACATAGTTCAAGCTGGCCTTGAACTCAGTTTGTAACCCAGACTGGCCTCAAACTTGCAGCAATCCTGCCTCAGCCCCACCCCAATCCCCAAGTGCTGGAATTACAAGTGTGCACCACCACAAGACCCTCTTGGTTAGCTATTTAGACCAGAAGTGGGTAATTAAGTATAGCTGAGCCAATGAGATTCTCTCTCCCAAAACAGAATACAAGACCCAGTATAATCTTGGAGACAGAGGAATAGAGAGAACAGGTGTCTTGATTGTGGCTAGCTGTCCAGTTGTAAGTTCTAGTCCCTTGTGAGGCCTGGTTCCTTTTTCTACTCTTAGATTCTATCAAATGTGCCTGTGTATGTTAAATCAGACGCTCTTCTGCTTTTGCCATCTTAAGTGGATTTTGTTTCTGGCAACCAACCACCAACCAGATTAAGACAACTACCATCATACCATCATAGTTATGTTCATTATGGCAAACTCTTATTCAGTGCCACAACAGGTAGAGCTGTTCATTATGCCGTATCTCAACACATGCACAATACTACTAATAGCAGCATCTCGCCCAAGACTGGAACAAGAAATTAAATTACATACCCTTTGCTGAATTTCTTGAATGGTGGCCTTATAACACTACGACTTTTCACAACACAATGGCGTCCAACTCTTACATTTGCCAGATCCCCTCGGATTATACAGTCATTCATTACGATGGTCTATAAAACAAAGCACATTTTAAAAACTTACCTATATAGCCCAAAACATAATACAAAAGGATAGATAAGAGGACACTATTATGTTATTATCTACTGCATCAAATGTTCTGCTAAAAGGGATAAAGTGAAGGGAGAGTTGCTCTCATGACTGCAAACTGACACTGGAGATATTCTACTACATTAGGAGCTTTGCCCTTAATATTCCATGAACAGAACTCACTGAATAAAAATTTAGTGAGAATGCTTGTAACAGACTTAGTTTATGTGTCTCTTTAGACTCACTCAGATCCACTGTCCAAGTGTTGGCTATTTGCTCACCTCTTTCTTTTTTTTTTTAATCTCCTAACACTAGTGTCTCTAACTTCATGCTCCGAGGTGGATCCACTCAAGTTCTGGTTCATCTCCCACTTCTAGACTCAGACTAAATACTACATTGTGTGGAGTAAGATCTGGAGGGATTGAAAAACACAAGAAGAAATCTAGGGGGATCAATGCTCCATATTGGTAAAGAGGAGGCATTCTCAAAATATGTATTGAATAAATGAATGGGATTTTTAAAGTGCATGTATCTGGATTTGTAGCTGTAAAAGTAGGCAAGAAAGCAGATCATGGGGAACAGTGTAAGCTGAGCATAAATGCTTAGACTTTTTTTTGCCCTATAGGGTATCAGGAATCAATAAAATATTTTACACAGATTAATAGAACTGGATTTTCATTTTAGAAATATTACTCTAGATACAATCTGGAGTCTAAACAGAGAGACTATAAATGAGACTGGAGGGAAAGTAATCCTTTAAATGAGTATATTGGATCAAGGCAAAAATAGACAATGGGGGCTGGGGATTTAGCTCAGTGGTTATGGCGCCTGCCTTGTAAGCACAAGGTCCCGAGTTCGATCCCCGGTACCACAAAAAAAAAAAAAAAAAATAGATAATGGGCCAGGGATTTAGCTCAGTGGTGCCACCACCTGCCTTGCAAGCACAAGGTCCTGAGTTCGATTCCAGGTACCAAAAAAAAATAAAAAGATAATGGGCCTTATCTACGGCAATAGAATGGAAATGAGAAATAAAATAAAGACCATATTATAAAAAAGGTCATGTTAAACAACTCTATGTAGATATAATCTTCCAAACTCAGGAATTTAAAAACTCGACAGGGTAGTAATCTAATTTCTACAATATATAAATGTCATGAAGGAAAAGGGGTAACGAGAACTCTTGTTATTTAAAAGAGACTTAAGGGGCCTACCAACCAAATACAATGTGTGCATGACTCTTTTGGGATTATGATTTGAACAAATCAGCTGCTGGGATGATAGGCATGTGCCACCACATCCAGCTTGTACAGTAATTTTGGTTCTAAGTGCCACTGAATTTTGTTCTAGCATAAAAAGGAAAAATATTATATTACTTCCTTTTATTGATTTTTTTTTGCATTCAATAAATACAATTTGGAGAAAAAAGGGAATTGAAAGTGTACATCAATAAACAGCATCACAACAACATTTTATCTACCCTGCTAATGTCATCATTAGTGGAAAGCAAGCAAAGACATCCTGGAGCTGTCTTTGTCCCTTACCTTGCCATTGAGAACAATGTTCTGGCTTCCACACAACACTGACTGGCGACTAACTTTATTCCCAGATGCCTAAAAGGAAATAACAAAAAACTGAGTGGATTTCTGGGCCAAGGTTTCCACAAAGAAAGCACGAAATAGAGAGAAAAGAACTTCAAATGACATGAGGTCTAAAACTGATTTTTAAAAGCAGGGATGCAAACTAAAGGTTCAGGAATGGATTTACAATTTGTATGTGGTAAGTCTGTAACTTAGTGGCATCAGGGAGAGACGTGGATTTAAGTCCCAGTTCCATTTTTCAATTTAAAGCTCTAAACCGTGGTTAATGACGGTACCATTATTATAAACTTGTGAAAACGCAAAGAAAAAACAAAATAATAGTGAGTTTAATTGGAATACCTGTTGTTTCCAGCATTTCGTCACACATTGCAAACGCTGAATATATAAAAAAACCTCGATCGTTTTCAGCACATGTTAACAGGTTACGAAATATTAATTAAAAAAAAAAAAAAGTTAAGGGGCCGGGGATTTAGCTCAGTGGTTCCGCTGCCACCCTTGAAAGAGGAAGGACCCGAGTTCGATCCCCGGTACCAAAAAAAAAAAAGTTAAAATAGGCCCGAAGCCTAAGCTGTAATTAATATTTGGATAGCTAGAGGCTTCCTGGCCTCCAGAAGGGACTTTATCCCTATGAGAAAATCAGAAATATGCATCAAAAAGCCTAAAGTGGCCGCGTACGGACTAAACAACAAAATCAGAGGATGCCGAGGCGTCTCTAGGTAACTCCCGACCGTCTGCCAGAGAGAGCCGGGGTGGGTGGGGCAGGGACAGACCGGGGCCTCAGAAGGATGCGGGCTTGGAAGACGCAGGGCGGATGTTTGAACACACGCACCGTCTCGATGTACTCGGACTTGTTGTAGAGTAGCTCGCCCAACTCCATGGCCACCGCCTCCTTTCCGACGCACCTCAGGATCCTGTCCAAGACCTGCTCACTGAGGTTCCGGCTACTTCCGGCTTGCGCCTCCACTTCCGCTGTCGGGGGGGGGCGGGGGGGGGGCTCGGCTCTAATCGACCTCTCGGCTCTCCTCTAGGCGGCCCTGCGCCCTCGGTCGGCTGTCCCCGGCGGCGCGTGCGCAGGCCGAGCGGTGGCTTTAATTGGCCTGGAGAAATGGCGCGCCTTGCCCGTGTGGGATGTCTGGTCGCGTTCTGAGGAGATCCCGGGTCCCTGATTCTTTCCCGGGTGCTTCTTGGACCCAAGTCCAGCTGGGTCTCCGTGTCCGCGGGTCCTGGGCTGGCGACGGCTGCTCTTTCCGTTCCCCCATCCCGATGGACGAGCCTCCCTGGAAGCCCCTCAGCTACGCCGAGAAGGAAAAGGTGCCTGGGGTGCGGAAAGGGCTGATTGGGACCCTCACCCGCTTCCAGCCTCCGGCCTGGAGGCCCGGCTTTCTCTCCTCTCAGTGCGAGGCAGCAGCCTCCTCAGACCTCCCTGCTCAATCTGAGTAGGCACAGGAAGTGAAAGTATGAGAGATTGGCGCGCTACTCACGTGCTGGCGTTTAGAAAACAAATTTTCATTACAGTAGCAATGCATAGAAACAAAATGGAAAACATTATAGACAAAGCTTAAATGCCTTTCGACAGCCTTCTTCGTTTCTTCTTTCTCCCCTCCCACACGCTCAGTCTTGACTTCCTCACACTCCACCCAGCCGAGTGAATCTCTCCAGGCTGGTACTTTCGGATCTTTCTGTGTCTCTGTGTTGGGCCGGGAGGCAGAGTATCCCTGACAACCAAAAAAATACTATGTATTTTTTTGAAGAGGGGAACGTTCATAAACAGTATGATCGGAATGGTATTGCAACTCTCGTTTTTCTCTGTTTAACAGCCACATTAGGACATAGTTATTTACCTTTTCTTAAAAAAAGCTCTGTACGGGCCGGGGATTTAGCTCAGTAGTTCCGCCGCCTGCTTCACAAGCTCAAGGACCTGAGTTCGATCCCCGGTACCAAAAAAAAAAAAAAAGTTCTGTATAATGTAGTTTGGAAGTGTCCCTGTTTCTTTAGAAGTTAATCTGATAGACTTTTAGTTTGTTTCCAGGCTCTTGTGCTGTTAACCGGAGTTTTTATTGTGCTTGCTGAACTCTCATTAAAATTAACTTGTCAGTCTTCTTCTTCTAGCTTACCTGCTACTAGCGTGAAAAGATCATTTCCAATAAACACGGTAATTATTGATAAGGCGGGTGAGAAGCGGACTAGCCTAGAGACGCAGAACACAGACTACTGCTAGTCAGCTGTTAGGTTTTGAATTGTGTCATTTACAAACTGCATGGTCTTGGAAGGATGAGTCCCCCTAACAGGTTCCTAGAAAGCAGAAGAAAAACGAAAATGGGTGGCTTTTGCTGCTGAGATTATTCTTTGATCCACAGCAGCCAGAGAGACAAAGGAAACCTAAACTTTGAGAAAATAGTAATTTGACTTAACCTGGTTCCAGTCTTTGTTGAATGCCTGCAGTGTGCCTGGCTAGGAATTCAGCAGTGAAAACTCCTCTTTCACTGGTCTTTGGAATGTTCCTCAAATACACTTAGCCCATCCTGCTGTGGAGCTTTTTAGTTCATGGTTCCCATCCCCCAATCTCCCTAAAGCTAACTCCTTCCTTTTTTAGGTCTAGGCTCGTTCCAAAGACAGTTCTAACAAATGCCTCCCTGAACACTCTACCTGGCAGTCTGTTCAGGACCCTAGTCATTCACCCTGTTTATTTAAGTGTTTGTTATCATGTAAAGTCTGTTTTCTTGTATAATACCTGTATCCTGAGCTGTATGTAAATTGCCTTCATCACCCTGTGTCTCTGGCATCTGAAATAAATGATACAGTAGCTGACACATAGTGGGTATCAGGTACTGTTCTAGGTGCTAGAGATACCATTAACTGACATATATTGAATGAAGGTGACAACTGTTATCTTCATGGTTTTTACAGCGATGAGGGGAACAGGGAAGTAACAGACGACATACTGTGGTATAGTAAAAACCTGTGATAAGGGAAGCACAGAGAAGGGATGGAGAGTCTAACCTGGATTTGGAGAACAACCTAGAATTCTGTCTCCAGGGAAATAAAAATCTTAAACTGGCCTGGGGATTTAGCTCAGTGGTGCCACCGCCTGCCTCCCAAGCGCAGAGTCCTGAGTTCGATTCCCTATACCAAAAAAAAAATCTTAAACAGGGTTGAGGAATCCATAGGAATTGACAAAGGGAAAAAATGTTCCAGGTGACAGGAATAGTTTATTCACAGGTCCTGAGAGTGAAAAGCTTGGTGCTTTGTGAGAACTGGAATAGGTCTGTGTGTGCCAGTTCCTCTCCTGGAGGCTGAGGAACCCTGCTGAACACGGACTGTGTGCTCCTATCTGATAGACACTGTACTGCTTCCCTCTGTTTCCACCTCTCCACTACTCAACAAAATTGGTGTTTTTCTTCTTCTAGTTGAAGAAAAAATTAGCATTTTTGAAAAGGGAATACAGCAAGACACTGGCCCGCCTTCAGGTAAGTGGATTGTATTCTCTCAGATTATGTTATTGTGCAGACAGCTTTAAAAACAATTTCTGACAATAATAAAGCTCTAAAGGAAGTTTCTTTCTTGAACTTCTTGTGTTTTTTCTAGCGTGCCCAAAGAGCCGAGAAGGTTAAGAATTCTGTTACGAAAACAGTGGAACAGGATTGCTCTCCCCAGCGTGAAATCTCACTACAGCTAAACCACTCAGGTAAATCGAGTGTAGTCACTTATACTTGCTTTATCATTCATTTTTCAGGTATATTTATTTATTAAGAAGCAATAGAGGAAAAAAAAATGTAAAAAGAAAAAGAAGCAATAGAGGGCTGGCGATTTAGCTCAGTGGTTCTGCCGCCTGCCTTGTAAACGCAAGGTCCCAAGTTCGATCCCTGGTACCAAAAAAACAAGAAGCAATAGAGGGGCCAGGGATTTAGCTCAGTGGTTCTGGTGCTTGCCTCGAAAGCCCAAGGTCCTGAGTTTGATCCCTGATACCAAAAAAAAAAAGAAGCAATATATTTTTAACATAAAATTCATATGCCATAAAATTAAAGCAATAAACTATACTTTCATTTGGGTTATTTAGTTGCTCATTTTTCTTCAACTTTTAGAAACTATATTTAAAGTTTAAATATCAGAATGATTTTTTTTTTAATTACCCACATATGCACAGAGAAAAGTACTCTTTGAAAATCAATGGAAAAGGGCCGGGGATTTAGCTCAGTGGCTCCAGTGCCTGCTTCGAAAGTGCAAGGTCCCAAGTTCGATCCCCGGTACCAAAAAAAAGCAATGGAAAGAAGTGTTGGAAGGAGAGGAGGGCAGAGGACAAAAAGAAAGGAAGATGTGCTGTGTACATGTATAAATACCACTTAAACTACTTAAGGCAAAAAAAAAAGGAAGGCAGGAAGAAAAGAAAGAAACCTGAGAAAAAAATTACGTGAGGTTTTAGGAGTACATACACATCAGTGGTAATGCACATGCTTAGCATTTGCAAGGCATTAGGCTTTGTCCCTAGCACGAGAAGAAATTAGATGAGATTAAAAATTAAAAGAAAAGATGATTGAGAAAAAAATAATCTTTTAAAAGAAACACTTTTTGGCGTAATTTTATTTATTTACATTTACTTAAAATTTTGTAGTTGTTAGAATTTTTAAGACATGAACCTTGTTCTGCCAGAACGAAATGTCTTTGATTCTTTTTAAAATAAATATTCAGAAATAATATTTTTATTTACTTACTTATTTTTGCAGTATTGGGATTGGAATTCAGGGCCTCAAACATACTAGGCAAGTGCTGTACCACTGAGCTACACCTCTAGCCCTGTAATACATATTTTTTTGTTTTGTTTTGTTTTTGAGACAGGGTCTCAAGCTATGTAGTTTAGGCTGGCCTTGAACTCACTGGGTAACCCAGGCTGGCCTCAAACTCACAGTGATCCTCCTGCCGCAGTGGTGGGGAAATTGATCTCAGGACCTTGCACTTGCCAGGCAGGCATGGCGCCACTGAGCTACATCCCTGGCCCCTGTTTGTTCCATTTTAAAAGGAAACTTAATTACATACATTTTTTTCTCCTCAGAACCTAAAAATGAAGGATCTCCTCATGGAAAGTTACAGATCAGTATCCATCTTGATGAGGAAACTGGAGAAAAGACATCTGTGACACTTGATGATGAGGCTGAGTCTTTTAACTCTGAAGATGGCCTAGAAGAAGGGTTATGTTTACAAAGAACAGATGACACCCAAGAGCACTTACCCTATAAGGTCAATGATCCTGTTGCTGAGAAAAGACAGAGTGAGCTGCCTGGGAGAAAAAAGCAGCCAAAGAGAACACTTAATTCACAGGAAAGAGGTTTCTTTGACATCAGTTCCCTCATACTCTCTGGCAAAAGGTTAAAGAAACAGGAAGTAATCAATAACAAAAATCCTACGTTATCAGTAACTGAAGTAACACACCTTTCAAGTCCTGAATCTGAAATTCCAGATTTTCCAGCACCAGTTACAGAAAATGATGGAGAGAGTGAATTAATTCCACCAACTGCCAAGTTAGAAAGAGGTGTTGCTATATCCTCAAGAGGAAATAAGTTTTTCAAGGAGGCTGCAGTTCCTTTGCATACTATAACAGACTGCAGTAATAGTCAGCACCTTGAACATGTCCCTCCTGAAGGTCACTATGAATTTACATCTCAGGGATTTAAAAACATTAACTCTGTTTCATCCATAAACCTGGAAGCACAAGGCATAAAAATGACTGTCTGCACAGATAACGAAGTAATAAATGAAGCTGTAAGTACAAGTAGCCAGCTGCCTCAAAGTCCTAATTTACAGGCAGATGATGCATATTCTGTAAATAAACTCATTTACAATAACTCATCAGCAAATATAAGCCAAAATGTAAATGAAAAAAATCACGCAGAGAAATCTTTAAAATCTCTCAGTAATATTCTCGACAGTAGAAGTGTAAACCTCCAGGAAGATGAAGTTCTAAGTCAGCCTAAAAATCTTAGCCTAGAAGTGGTCTCTCCTGTTTCTACAGAAAATCAGAATCATTCTTGCACAATGCTTGAAGGCCTTCTATTTCCTGCAGAATACTATGTTAGAACAACACGTCACATGTCAAACTACCAGAGGAAAGTAGCCCTGGAAGCTGTAATTCAGAGTCATTTGGGTGCCAGGAAAAAAGGGTTTAAAAATAAAATTAAAGAAGTAACTAAAGATGTAAAGCTTTCTATTGAAGAAACTGACCAGAGTGAAGGTAGGATTTCAAGTACATGCCCAGTTCACCCAAATTCGAAAAGTCCTCTGGAACTTCTCTCATTAGCTGAAGTCATCTCTCCTGCTGGAGCCACTGAGGACAGTGGCTGTTCTAGGAAGACTATTTCACAGCCATGTGGTAGGAGACACAGAAGAAAAAGAAAATCCGTCAGCACCTCCGCCCTAGATCACTGTGAACTGCTTTTGCCAGCTTCCAGTATATCAAGTGTTAACAGTTCTGAGGATAAAGTCACATGGTACAGACGTCAGGCTAAGAAGGCAGTTGTTCATGATAAGAGGGTTAAAGGTAAGTAAGATTGTGTGTAATGATGATAGTGGTGATAGCTGTTTACTGTGTGCTGGTGCTTTCTAAATGCTGTATAGGGCTGGGGATTTAGCTCAGTGGTTCTGCCCGCCTGCCTTGAAAGCACAAGGTCCCAAGTTTGATCCCTGGTACCAAAAAAAAAGAATCTAAATGCTGTATACAACCAGGATTGGTAGTGCAAGCCTGAAATCCTGGCACTTTGGGAGGACAAGGCAGGAAGGTCACAAATTAAGCCCAGCTAAGGCAACTGAGCAACTTAGTAAGACCCTGTCTCTAAATAAACAATGGGCTGAGGGTTTTGCTCAGTCTGAAGGCCCTGGGTTCAATGACCAGTGCCCGCAACATGCATAACACACACACACACACACACGTGCTATGCAGATGATAACATTGGATCATCATAGCAACCCTACCTAAGATAGTCTATTTTTATCTCCACATTTCAGACAAGGAAAGTAAGAGGCATGGGGAAATTAAAAATGATACCAGAGTTCATTAATGTGGGGTTTGTTATTTTTTTAAAAATAAATTTTATCCCATTCCAACCCCCTCAAGCCTCTTCCCCTCCTGTGGGTTTTTTCTTTTTTTTAATTTTTTTTCCTTTACTAAAATGGTTGAAAAAGTTATCACTGCAAGGGAAAATATGTTGGGTGGTTACCAAAATTAATATCTATTCAGATATAGCACATACTTCATTGGAGGTAGAACATTTATGTATCTTAAATAGGAAGTGTTTTGAAATAAAATTGTTAGAGAATCCAGAACTGGGTGTGGCTCAGTGGTAGGATACTTGTCTAGAGCGAGAGTCCACTGAAAAACTCTCAGCAGTGATCGTGTAACAAACAGCCCAAACAACTTTTTGAATGTGGTAGTATAACCTTTGCAGTCTGTAGGACACAGTTTTGGAGGAAAGCAAGTAAGGAAGGGTATGTTACAATTTAAACTTTTTATTCATTTTCTCAGAAGTGAATGACATCTGATAAACTGAGTGCCCAGACTGGGTCATTCATTGTGACTTTAAACAAGAGATCAGCTAACATCCTGTAAAGACCAGATAATAAAGACTGTACTCTTTTCTCTGTCTAAACTACCCAGTGTGGTGCAAAAGCCAGCCATAGGCAACTTGTAAATGTGACTGTCTCCAGAAAACTGTTTGTGCCCAAAAACAGGCAACAGGTTGCTCTATACCAGTGAACATAGTCTTTAGTGTATGAGATATAATTTATTAAATTAATTTTGGGGGGGGGTACCAGGGATCGAACTCAGGTCCTTGTGCTTGCGCAGCAGGTGGCGAAACCGCTGAGCTAAATCCCCAGCCCATAAATTAATTTTTTAAAGCAATAATTACTTTTTTCATAATTGTCTTTTTTGCATTTTTAAAATTTTATTGGTACATTTTAGATATCCATAATGATAACGTTCAAAAAAAAAAACAGTCACCATAATGATAACATTCATCATAGGGAATTTGTACCTGTACATGATATATCTTGCTGCTTCCCCTGCCCCCATTCCCCTTCCCTCCATTCAAACCCTCTTCCCCTCATTTACTTTTTTTTTTTTTTTTTTTGAGGCAAGGTCTTGCCATGTAGTTCAAACCAGTTTTGAACTCACTGTGTAGTCCAATCTGGCCTTGAACTTATGGTGATCCTCCTGCCTCAGCCTCCTGAGTGCTGGGATTACAGGCGTGTGCCACCTCACCCAGCTTCTCCTCACCCAGCATTTACAAAAGCTTTGTTTCCATTTTTTCCTTCTGTCGTTTTTTTACCTGTCCTTTCTTTCCTCCTACACCCTCCTTTGTTGGTCTTCCCATTTGAATATTTTCTTCCCATTTCCAATATCTGTTATACATTTTGGGCCTTATTTACACTTTCAGTTTCTCAGACCAGAGAAACAATGGAGTATTTACACATGTGTGTCCAATTTATTTCACTTAAGAGTATGGTCTCAGTGTGCATCTGTTCAGCTAGAAATGTCTCAAGTGTATCCTTCTTTATGGCTGAGTAGTACTCCATTTTATTTAAAAAAAACAACCCACATCTTCTTTATCCAGTCTCCAGTTGATGGGCATTTAGGCTGTTTCCAAGACTTAGCCATTACAAACTGTGCCGCTGTAAACATGAGTGTGCATATATCACTGTGGTGTGATTCTTTTAATTCTTTGGGGAAGATACCCAGCAGGGGAATAGTGGGGTCAAATGGGACTTTCAGTCCTAGTTCTTTGAGGTGTCTCCATACTGATTTCCACAGTGGTTACATCAGTCTACACTCCCACCAGCAGTGGAGCAGGGTTCCTCTTTCCCCACAGCCCTGCCAGCATTTGTTATTGGTTGATTTCTTGATGGCAGCCATTCTTTCTGGGATGAGGTGGAATCTCAGCATTGTTTTAATTTGCATCTCTCGAATGACCAGTGATGTTGAACATTTTTTTATATGTTTATTTGCTGTTTCTATTTCATCTGAGAAGTGTCTGTTCATTTTAGGTACCCATTTTTGGATTGGGTAAATTTGAGAGGTCTGATTTTTTTGTTTTTTTGAGCTCTTTATATACTAGATAGTAGTCCTTTGTCAGAGGAACAAATGGCAAATGTTTCCCACTCTGTGGGTTGTCTCAGCTCTGCTGGTGGTTTCTCTTGCTGTGCAGAAGTTTAATAAGATGAGATCCCCGTGGTTGATTCTTTGTGATATTTCCTGTGCAATAAAGTCTTTGCCTACACCTGTGTCTTCAAGACTTCTACCTATTCCATCTTCCAGCAGGCTTAGTGTTTCTGTTTTAATATTTAGATCTTTGGTCCATTTGATTTTAGCTTAGTGCGTGGTGAGAGATACAGGTCTAGATTCAATCTTTGGCAAGTGGAGAGCCAGTTTTCCCAGCACCATTTATCAAAGAGGCTCTCTTTCCTCCAGTGGGTGTGTTTGGCCTCTTTATCAAAGATAAGGTAGCTGAATGTGCTTGGAGTTGTTTCGTCATCTTCTGGTCTGTTCCATTGATCCTTGGGTCTGGTTTTTTGAAAATATCATGCTGTTTTTAATCATGGTAGCTTTATATCACAACTTCACATCAGGGATTGCAGTGCCCCCTGCCTTGCCCTTGTTGCCCAGAACTGCTTTTGCTATTCTGGTCTCTTCTGGTTCCATATGAATTTTAGGATTATTTTCCCTACTTCTGTGAGGTATGCTCTTGGTATTTTTATTGAGATTGCATTAAATCTGTACAACAGTTTTGGGAGTATGGCCAGTTTTACTATATTGGTTTTTCCTACCCAAAACCAAGGGATATCTTTTCGTTTTCCGATATCCTCTTTGATCTTTTTCAGAGTATTTTAGTTTTCAGTATAAAGGTCTTTTACTTCCTTCATTAGATTGATTCCTAAGTATTTCACTTTTTTATTAATAAGTTTTTATTTTATCCTATTCACCCTAAAGCCCCCTCCCCTCCCTATGTACAAAAGCTTTGTTTCCATTTTTTCCTTCTATTTTCACTTTTTTTCTTGTCCCTTCCTTCCTTTCTTCCTCCCTCTTTCCTTGTTCCCCTTCCCATTTGAACACTTAAGTATTTCATTTTTTTGGATGCTATTGTGAAAGGTGGTGTTTCCCTAATTTCTTTCTCAATGAGTTAGTTATTTGTGTACAGGAATGCTACCGAATTTGGTTATTAAATCTAGAAGTCTTTTGGTGGCATTTTTGGGGTCTTGTATGCAGAGTATCATGTCATCCACAAATAATAATTTAACTTCTTCCTTTCCCATCCTTATTCCTTTTATTTCTTTCTGTTGTCTTATTGCTCTGGCTAGTGTTTCCAGAACAATATTGAAAAGAGTCGCGATAGTGGACATCCTTGTCTTGTTTCTTATTTTAGAGTGAAAGCTTTCAGTTTTTGGCCATTTAGTATGATGTTGGCTGTTGGTTTTTCATAGATGGCTTTTATCAGGTTGAGATAAAGACCATCTATTCCAATTTTCTCAAGGATTTTTTTTTTTTTCGATACTGGGGATCGAACTCGGGACCTTGCGCTTGCGAGGCAAGTGATGGAACCACTGAGCTGAATCCCCAGCCCTCTCAAGGGTTTTTATCATGAATGAGTGTTGGACTTTGTCAAATGCTTTTTCTGTATCTAGACGATCATATAGTTTTTTGTGCTTGGCTCTGTTAATATAGTGTTATTACATTTATTGATTTGCATGTGTTGAACCACCCCCGCATCCCTGTGATGAATACTACTTGTTCATGGTGTATAATCTTCATAATGATTTGCTGCATTCTATTTGCCAGAGTCTTGAGGACTTTTGTGTCTACATTCATCAGGGAGATTGGCCTGTAGTTCTCTTTTTTGATTGGATCCTTCTCTCGTTTTGTCATCTTTTAAGACAAGAATACCAAGAAAGCATCAAATATGCAGTCCAGTAAAAATCTAGAAACATTTTCCTAGACTTTGCAATAGTCTGCTGTGATTTTAGTAAACTGCAGCTATGTTTAAAAACATGATATTCACCAAACATAAAATTAACTTTTAGATTAAGTGAACAAGGCAGTGGTTTTTCATATATTTACAGTGTTACTTCTCTCTAGTTTAACACTGTCAAGTAAAGTTCATACTGTTCAAGCAGCTGCCTCCTATATTCTCTGTCCCCCTCCAGCCTCCAGCCCAGGCTGCAGCCAATCTGCATGCTCTCTCTATGGATTTACCAATTCTGGATATTTCGCATAAATAGAATTATACAGTAGGTGACACTGTGTGTCTCACTTTACATAATATTTTCAAGTTATATCCATGATGTAGCATATATCAGTACTTCATTCCTTTTTGTGGCAGAATAACATTCCATCATTTGTATGTACCACATGTCTATTTATACACTCATTAGTTTGATGCAGTTACATTTTTAAAAAGATTGGATTCCAGACACAGTAAGAGCAATAAATTACTTTTTGCTTGAAAGAGGAACAAAGTTTTCTCTTTTTTTTTTTTTTGATACCAGGGATCGAACTCATGACCTTGTGCTTGGGAGGCAGGTGGCAGCACCACTGAGCTAAATCGCCAGCTAAGTTTTCTTTTATGAGGAGAGCTAGCATTTTGTATATTATCCTCCAGTAGCCTGCTGGAATTTGCTTTTGCTTTTACTTTTGGTTTTTTGAGACAGGGTCTGGCCATGTAGCCCAGGCTGGCCTTGAACTAATGGCAATTCTCCCGCCTCAGCCTTCCAAGTGCTAGGATTACAGGTGTGTGCCACCACGCCCAGCTGGAACCATTTTTACAGGTGGGAAGGAGGTTAGAGGTTTTTAGTCCAGTTCCCTTTTGAGGAGAGAGAGAGGAGGGAAAATGAACCAGCTTGCCTGAGGTCATACCTCACGCCAGTGGCCAAGCTGAGACTTGTGCCCCAGTCTTCCTTCTCCCAGTTAATACTGTCAGCACCGCATTATTTTGGGTCCTACAAAAGAATAGCTGCTAGTTACCCACCCACTGAATGTTCATTTAAGCCCTTTACCCAGGGTTTAAAGTCATAGATGGAGCCAGATGAGGTGGTGCATACCTGTGATCTCAGCATTCTGGGAGGCTGAAGCAGGAAAATCGAAGTTTGAGCCCAGCCTGAGCAACTGAGTGACTCAGTGAGATACTGTTTCAAAATAAAAATGGGTCGGGGAAGTAGCTCAATGTGAAGGCCCTGAATTCAGTTTCCAGTACCACGAAGAATAAATGAAAGTCATGGATGGGAGAAGTAATGAACATTTTCTATTATATTTGAGTTAAGAAACTTACTCTTTGGGCCAGGGATTTAGCTCAGTGGTTCTGGCGCCTGCCTCACAAGCGCAAGGACCGGAGTTTGATCCCTGGTACCAAAAAAAAAAAACCAGAGAGAAACTTACTCTTGGTTGCCTCTTACTGTCTCTTTGGGTTTTGTTGCTGTTGTTGTTGCTTATTTTTCTATTTTAGGGAAGGAAGTTCATTGTCAAAAAGAAGAGTCCCTTTATCCCAGTGACAGTGCTTCTTTAGCTTTGGATGGTGATGCTTTCACTTCTTCATTTCATAAGAAGGAAATGCTGAATTTAAAGCAACTGTTGTCTTCTCTCAGTATGACAGACTTTGAGTTACCTGATGAGGATTTTGGGCCTCTTAAGCTGGAAAAACTGAAGTCCTGCTCTGAAAAGCCAAGTGAGCCTCTGGAATCAAAAATATGTGCAGAAAGACATCTGAAAGAGGGAAATTATATTGTTCTGCAGGAACCAATTCCTAACCGGCTAGATGCAGCAACGGAAGACTTGGGAGAGGACCTAGTTCTACCAGAAAAAGCACATCTTCAAGTGCCAAACAAAAAAAGCCAGCCTACAAATAAGAAGCTTTCTTCGTCCATGCTACTTTTCACTCCTTCCAACACTGCTGCCCCGAACGACAGTGACCCTCCTGCCGCAGACCTGTGCTCCCCGGCTCTCCCCATTGTGGGCACTACTCCCGCCTTGGGCTCCCAGGCTTGCTCTGGAAAAGCATCTGCTGAGGGCGGACAGACTTGCTCTATACCCCAACTTTCTCACTTGGAAGACACAGTTCTTCTTGCCAGTGACAGTAAACAGTGTGACAGTTCATCAGAACTGGATACCAGTTTGCGAGTGTCAGGTAGGCGAGGACAGTCTGCCTGCCACCATGACGCTGGCCCCCAGGCAGCACCACTACTCATTGAGTCATTTGCTTTCAGAGAAAATCAGCTCTGTGGAAATGCGTGCCTGGAGTTGCATAAACATTCCACTGAACAGGTACAATGGCTTCTTTTTTTTTTTTTTAGGTAGGGTCTCACTATGTAGTTCAGGTGGGCCCCGAACTCACTGTGTGCTGGCTTTGAACTCAAGGTGATCCTCCTGCCTCAGCCTCCTTGAGTGCTGGGATTACAGCCATGTACCACCATGCCCAGCAATGGCTACTTTTATAAAATTTTCTCGGAACAAATGAATTACCTTAATGAATATGGACAATATGACTTCTTCAAGTTGACCTCTTGGTGTTTAGGAATACTTTAACGTTTCTTTGACATGCCTTCATTGTAAACAACCTCATAGTAGGGAAATTAAGGTTAATTAAAATGTATATTTTTTTAAATGTGAGGGGGTCCTATTTTTTTCATCAGGTAAACAATTGCATGTGGAGCTTTGCTGCTGTTACCAGAGAAAATAACTAATGAGGTAGATATCTTGATAGGTAATGCAGGCAGACACAATACATAAAATGTAGATTCATGATGTTGACTTTTGTTTCCACAGACTGAAATAGCAGATCGTCCTGTTTGTGATAGCTTAAACTCGGGTAGCCTACAATTGGTTTCAAAGTTAAAGGTCAGAAGAATATTTTGTTAATTATGTGTCTTGTATCTTACATGTAAAATATTTATACATTGATAAGAAAGTTGAGTTGGATCCTATATCTTCCTGTTGTGTGTGTGGTTTCTGGGGTTTGAGCCCAGGGCCTTCACACTGAGCTACATTTCCAGCCATTTATTCTTTTTCTTTTTTTTTTTTTCCTGAGACAGGGTCTGGCTAAGTCACTGAGTTGCCTAGGCTGGGCTCAAATTTGTAAGCCTCTTGCCTCAGCCTCCCAGAGTGGTTGGATTACAGGAGTGTACTACCATGCCTGGAGCTTCCTGTTTTTTAGTACTATTAAAGAGTAAGCAGAGTCCAAAAAACTAGATTTGAATTCTTTTTCATAACCTCTACCTGTGATTATATTTTGAGCTCTCCTTCTGAGGTTTACATGTCAAGCTGTTGCCAAGAACAATGGAAGCTAAGTAGCTCAAGTTAGTACCTAAATTTAAATCAGGCATTTTAACAGAGTGAGATGAGTCGTCCATGCCTCTACTATCCAAATGATCTAATGTTTCTAAGGGAATCACTTATGATAACTTAAAATGGCGGGCCGGGGATGTAGCTCAGTGGCACCGCGCCTGCCTCGCGAGCACAAGGTCCTGAGTTTGATCTCTGGTACCAAAAAAAAAAAAAACTAAAATGGGTAGCAGTTCTAAATTGTGATATTGTGGATGGTTCATCCTTGGAGTGTGATAAACCAAGAATGTCTCGGAACCTTACTAAGTGGCCTTGGAGATCAGGTGGGGTGTGACATCTCTCCCTGTTGAGAGCCATTGGTATAGAGGAAAAAACTTCAAGTCACATGAACTGCTTCTGCCAATGACTGGCTATGTGACCGTGGGAAAATTTTTTTAGCCTCTGAGCTCCAGATTCTTTTTCTATAGAAGATACTTAGTGCCAAGTGCAGTGGTACATGCCTGTAAAGGTGAGTTGAGGCCAGCCTGATCTTAGACCCTGTCTCAAATTAAAGAAGGCTGGGGATGTTCCTCAGTGATATCTCACCCCTGGGTTCCATCCCTAGTCCCACAAAAACAAACAATAAATTAATTAATTAAAATAAAAGATAAATAGTAATACCTATGCTCTGTGCTGTTTCAAAGCTATTCTTGAGTCAATTTTAAATACTTCAGATTCTGAAGGAATTTTTTTGTTGTTGTTGTTGTTTTTTGGGTTTTTTTGGTGCCGGGGATCGAACTCAGGACCTTGCACTTGCGGGGCAGGTGGTGGAACCACTGAGCTAAATCCCCGGCCCTTGAAGGAATTTTTCATTTCATTAATGTTTGCAAATTTATACATAAACCTCTTTCCCCGTCCCCCGCCCTTTTTTTTCTGTAGTAGGGATTGAACCCAGTGCCTTCATACTGCTTCATCCCAGCCCTTTTTTTGTTGTTTTTTTTTTGGTACCGGAGATCGAACTCTGGTCCTTGCGCTTGCGCAGCAGGTGGCGAAACCACTGAGCTAAATCCCGGGCCCTAGTGTTTGTTTTTGAAACAGGGTTCTCTAGTTGTTTTTTTAAATAATGTTTTAAATTTTATCCCTTCCCCCCTCAAGCCTCCTCTCCTCCCTGTGTACAAAAGCTTTGTTTCCATTTTTCCTTCTATTTTCACTTTTTTTCTTGTCTCCTTTTTCCTTTCTCCCTCCCTCCTCCCTTGTTTCCCTTCCCATTTGAACACTTTCTTCCCATTTCCCAGCATCCATTATACATCTCAGTCCTCATTTCCACTTGTAGTTTCTCACAGCAGAGAAACAATGCAGTATTTACATGTGCATCAGATTTATCTCACCTAAGCGCATGGCCTCAAGGTCCATCCATTTAGCTATAAATGTCTGAAGCTCATCCTTTATGGCTGAGTACTACTCCATTGTATAAAAAATACCCACATCTTTATCCACTCATCAGTTGATGGGCACTTGGGCTGTTTCTAAGATTTAGCTATTTCAAGCTGTGCCACTATAAACATGGGTGCACATGTATCACTGTTGTAAGATGCTTTTAATTCTTTCAGGAGATACCAAGAAGAGGTATAGCTCAAATGGAACCTCTAGTTTTAGTTTTTTGAGGAATCTCCACCTGATTTCCAGTGGTTGTACTAGTTTACACTCCCACCAACGGTGGAAAACGGTTTCTTTTCCCCAAAGTCCTTCCGGTATTTGTTATTGGCTGATTTCTTGATAATAGCTGTTTTCTTGAGTAAGATAGAATCTCAGCATTGTTTTAATTTGCATTTCATGAATGACCAGTGATGTTGAACACTTTTTCATATGTTTGTTTGCTATTTCTAATTCTTCCATCTGAGAAGTGTCTTTTATTGCAGATGCCCATTTTTGCATTGGGTCTTTAAATTTGGGAGGTCTGATTATTTTTAGTTATATATTCTAGATAAAAGTCCTTTAATTGACTAGCTGGTAAAAATTTTTTCCCACTCTGTAGATTGTCTTTTCACTCTGTTGGTGGTTTTTCTTGCCGTCCAAAAGCTTTTTTTTTGGTACCAGGGATTGAACGCGGGTCTTTGCGCTTGTGAGGCAGACGGTGGAATCACTGAGCTAAATCCCTGGTCCTCTAAAAGCTTTTTAATAAGATGAGGGCTCCCTCATTTTTTATTGTATTGATTATTGACTCACCTTACTCCTCCGCTCCCAGTACCGGGAATCAAACTCAGGACTTTGCACTTGCAAGGCCAATTATTGAATTTTTGTTTGCTGCTTCATGTGTTTTTATTTGGGGGGGGGTGTTTTTGTTTTTGGTACCAAGGATCGAACTCAGGACCTCATGCTTGCCAGACAGATGCGGTGCTGCTGAGCTACATCCACAGCCCCATGTGTTTTTATTTTTAATTCCTTCTGTTTTTCATTTATTTTGTCCTTTTTTTTCTTAAAGAACTTCTTGAACTACTTGCTGATCTCATTTTAATCTTTCTTGTTTTCCAGTAAATACCTTTACGATTCTGAGTTTTTCTTGGAAATACACAGGTTTCGCTGCACAGATCTTGTCTCAATCAGAGACAGTCTACTGCTGTGGTGGCAAACCTATGGCACGATGTTATTTTTTCTTTTAAGACAAAAGATGTTAATGTATGAGTTTTTTCTAAACTAAAACCTCAGTATTCAAGGTTAATTGCAGTATTGGCACTTTGTGATAAGTGGGTTTTGGGTTGCAGTTTGGGCACTCATCTCTAACCTCAGTTTGTCCTCACTGGTCTGTTGTATGTGGTTTCAGTTATTCCGTCTTCAACCCAGGAGTGGTTCATCAGGATATGTTTTTATGGGCTCTGTTTTTGTGCTTAGACTGATCTATCCCATTCTGGCCTAATATCCCATTCATCCCATTCTAGAGTAATACACTTTTAAATCCATTATGTAAATGTGTACAGGCAATTTTTGGTAGTTGCATAAGACCCACAAAGCTTGCTCTTTTGACTTGCATAAAACTTTAATTTCATTTACCTAGTATTTTACCTAACCCTTGTAATTCATCATTTTTCATACTTACTCTTTTCAAAACACAGACTTCAGGTATCTGTTTAACCTAACTGTTGTTGCCATTCTGGGTCAGAATCCTTCTGGTTCCTGTTCCGTGGATGTGAGCGTCATGTGGTGGGAAGAAGCTGGTTTTAAAGAGCCACGTATCATAACTGCTTGTGAATATGTAGTTTCTCTTTGGAAACCCATGGACCCTTGTCAGTGGGAAAAAATTCATACCTGGCACTTCACAGAGGTAAGTCAGAATCATGGAGCTACAGTCATTTAGTGATAAGATAGATGGGCAGCCTGGGATTTAGCTCAGTGGTTTCGCCCGCCTGTCTTGCAAGCACAAGGACCCAAGTTCAATCCCCGGTACCAAAAAAAAAAAAAAAAAAAAAAAAAAATAGATGGGCAGCTTAACAAGGATCTGTGATCATGCATGGCAGAACAGAGAGCTAGGTTTACTTTCCATCATCTTACTATGAAATTTTTCAAACATACAGAAAAGTCACACAGTGAGCACTCATATGCCCACTGTCCAGATTCTACCATTAGCACACTGCTTTATGTGCATTATCATGTTTGTCCAGAGATGGATATTTACACTAGACCTATGGGAGGAGCTTAGAATTCGATGGATATCCTGATTTCTAAACTTGCAAATACCTATATTTCCTGCCCTTCACCAAAACATTATTTCTGCTTCTTTTCTAGAAGTATTTCCTTCTAGTCTTTGTCCACCGTCATACATATTTTACATGGTTGCAGTCCTGGTGTGCTTAAGATTTTTAAATCTGGGGCCAGGGATTTAGCTCAGTGGTTTCACCACCTGCTGCGCAAGCGCAAGGACCCAAGTTCGATCCACGGTACCAAAAAGAAGATTTTTTAATCTGGCTTTTCATGTATTTTTTCTACGTATTCATACATGTTGATGCTTCAGTCTTGTTCTCCACTATGCTAACAACTTCTAGCTCTGCTTTTCACAGAGGAGCAACAAATATTTGTTTAGTGAATGAACATACAATTATTTAGGTGCTGAGGATTGAATCTAGGGCTTTGTGTATGCTAACTATAAGTTTTATCACTGAGCTACACTCCTAGCCTCTAAACATAATTGAGTTTTGTTTTGCAAATTTTTTTTAAGATAAAGGAGTCTCACAAGGTGTGGTGGTGCACACCTGTAACCCCAGCACTCTGGGAGACTGAGGTAGGATCACAAGTTTCAGCCCAACCTGAGCAATTTAGTGACTTAGTGAGACCCTGTCTCAAAACTTAAAAAATGGAAAATAAAAGGCTAGCAGTGTAGCCCCTGGGTTCAGTTCCCCAGTACTCCCCCCCACACACACACACAGAAGGGGACCAACAGATGGAGGGAGGGGGAGTCGAGAGTAGAGAAGAAAAAGAATCAAGAGGAGTCAGGTCCACGTACCAACTCCTTACACTGAGTGTAATCATTATGTACCGTAAATATGTATGAACAAACTTTCTAGAGTTTTCTAACCAAGGATTCATTCTTCCCTCTGCTTTCAGTTGCTACTATCAAAACTATTTTATCTCTTTCATGGAGGAATTTATTGAAGATTAATAAAAGTAGTCAGCTACTCTTAAAAGAAAAAGAAAATAAACAGGAGGCTCACTATGTTACCCAGACTGGCGCCAAACTCCTGGGCTCAAGTGATCCTCTTACCTCAGCCTTCTGAGTAACTGGGATAAACATGTTATTTTAAATAAACTTTATACCTCACACTTGTAAGGCAAGTTTCTAGCCCAGTATATAATTTTTGAATAAAATTTCTATTTTAAAAAACTTTTTACTTTAGTTAATATAATGGTACAGAGGAGCAAACTCAAGGGTGCTACACATAGAGCTACATCCCCACCCCTCTATTATGTTTTAGTTTTAGGCAAGGTCTTGCTAAGTTACCTAGGCTGGCCTTGAATTTATGATCCTCCTGTCTCAGCCTCCCAAGTCAATGAGATTATAGGCATGTGCCACTACACTTGGCCCAATTTATAATTTTAAATGGCTGTGTAATATTCATTCATTCCTATCTCTTTTTCATTTCAATTCATTTGCTTTCTAGAATTTACCTAACTTTTGCCTTGTTGTTAGAAATATAAATTGCACTGGATGAACGCTAACGTACAGGTGCTGTGGTAAGCACTATAGTCCCAGCTACTTAAAAGCTAATGCAGGAGGGGCCGAGATGTAGCTCAGTGGCACCGCACCTGCCTGACAAGCACAAGGTCCTGAGTTCTATCTCTAGTACCGGAAAAGCAAACAAAAAGCTAATGCAGCAGGATTGCTGGAGCTCAGAAGTTCATTGCTAGGAAGAGCTTATTTTATAAATTCAAAATAAGTACTAACTAAATATTTATGCATATAACCTCTTTGCATCTACATCTTATTTTAAAAAAAATACTTTCGGGCTGGGGATTTAGCTCAGTGGTTCCGCCGTCTGCCTTGCAAGCACAAGGTCCCGAGCTCGATCCCTGGTGCCAAAAAATAAAAAAAATACTTTCTGAACCTTCTCACATTTGTACAAATGTTAGAAACCATCCTAGTACAGAGAGAACATGAATGTGATAATTTTAAATTAATTTAAAATGAAACAACCCAATATTACTTACATCTGTTTTGTTTATATAGGTTCCTGTATTACAGATAGTTCCAGTGCCTGATGTTTGTAATCTTGTGTTTGTAGCTTTGGGAAATTTGGAAATCAGAGAAATCAGGTATGTAATTTCTAAGGAGGGATTTCTTTCTTTTTTCTTTTTTTTTTTTAACTTTCCTTTATCTTTGTTGGCTTATTTTGAGTTCAGGTTATAACCTAGGCTTGAGCCTTGAATGAATCTGAATTTAGGTCTAAAAGAGATTTATTTAATAATAACAACACCAAAAAATAAACTGACACCCTTGATTGATGTTTCCATTTAAAACGTGCACTTAGTATACTATCAAAGGCTTGCTCCCAACTCCTCTCCATTTTCTTTTTATTTGCTTTAGGACATTACTTTGTTCCTCTGATGATAAAAATGAAAAGCAAAAGCTACTGAAGTCTGGAAATATAAAAGCTGTGCTTGGCCTGACAGAGAGGAGGCTTGTGAGCAGCAGTGGGACCCTTTGTGACCAACAAGTAGAAGTCGTGACCTTTGCGGACGATGGAGGGTAAGAGAAGCACTGGCCGGTTTTGACTATGAGGTGAAGAAGCAGGTTACTACAAGTTCAGAGGAGGTGCATTGCCAGGATCTTGCTTTTCTGTCTGTAGGTGGAGCACAGCACACCTTAGCAGTAGGTTGCACTCAAGAAGCAGGTTAGAGAGGTGGAAGCCAGTCATGGCAGGGAAAAATCAACAGAGTGGAGAGGCTCGGCACATGCAATTTGTTCTTAATCTTCTTTGAAATCTGTGTGTGCCTTCCTTAAACATTAGAAGAACCTCAGGGCCTCAGACCCTTCCTCATTCAACATATGTGCTGGCTGTGGCTTCATCGAACATTAGGTGCTGGCTACTTGCGGTAGGACGTTTTTAGCTCTGTGCTCTTCCTTGAACCCCAGACCTGTGTGCTGTGTATTAGCCATCTTATGGACACCTCCAGTTCAGCATGTAGAAAACTGAGCTCAGAGCATCTTCTCTATGTACCATATCCCTGTTACTATTTGTTTGTTCATTTATTTGAATCCTGCCCCTCACGCATGCTTAGCATGTGCTGTACTACTGAGCTGCACCTGCAGACTGCTTTTATTATTATTGCTTATCTCTGTTTCCTAATGACACAGAGGGCAGAGACCTTCGGTTTGGTTTGGTTGGGCTTTTCTGGCGGAACTAGGGATTGGAACCCAAAGCCTTTGCATTGAGCTACATCCCCAGTCCTTTTTTATTTTTCATTTTGAAAATGTTGCTGACTTGCCCAGGCTGGCCTCAAACTTGGGATTCTCCTGACCCAACCTCCCAGAGTGCTGGGATTACAAGCATGTGCTACCACACCTGGCTAAGAAATGAAGGGTTTTTTTTTTTCTTTTTTTGGTACCAACAATCAAACCCATGGTCTCGTGCTTGCTGGTCAGGCACTGTACCACTGAGCTACACTAGTTTAGAAATGAGATTTAAAGAGAAAGTTTCTGAGGTTAATATCGGATGTGATAAATCTGAGGTACTTGCTGTATATTCAAGTAAATAATATGAAAGAAGTATGCATTCAGTTGTAGAAAGTTTAGAATATGTATTTTCTGTTTTAAATTTTTTTCCTCACAAGCACAAGGTCCCAAGTTCAAACACCGGTACCAAAACAAAAAAATGGGGGGATTTATATGTTCTATATTTGGGTGTTCCTTGACAATT